TGTGCTCAGTTGTGCCTCTTCGCAGTGTGTGTGTGTGTGTGTGTGATTGCTGCTCTAAAAGGGCTATTATGCTGGGTTTGTACAGAATGAGAATAGGGAGGGTGGAGGAAAAAGTAGAGTCGAAAGAGGAGAAGTGTCAGCAAATGTGAAGGTTGGAAGACACGTTGTTAGCCGGTTTCTAGGGGGCCAGACGCAAGCCGAAATAGGTACATGTTTGTTTGTATACACAGATTTTGTTGGTGATGGATAGACCGACGTCAGGGGAGGAAGAATGGCCGAGTGGGCGACAAGATTGTGGGCAGGAGGGAGTGGGCAAAACTGCGCGACGAACTGGCGGCCGGCAAGTCGGCGTCCAGTCGGCGCTCGACGCAGCAGTCGGACGCCTGAAGGGTCGAGGCTCGAGGCCCGGCCGTCAGCGTCGCAGCCGATTGGCTCGAGAGCCGGTGACGCAGGCTGCGCGACTCACCCGACGCCGAATAGACGAGCGGATGGACGGGACTCGGCATGGCCGAGGATTGGCCAAGCGAAGGTGGCTGTTGTTGTTGGGTTGTAGGTTGGTTGTGGTAGGGGTGTTTGAAGGCGACGCCCGACATGAGAGCGGCTGCCAACGAGCTGGCCGTCGGGAAGCCGGCGGCGGCGGCGAAGAGGAGCGGATGGTTGGCGAGGGAGCCGAGGCCGGGCGGGAAGAGACCGGGGCTCGGCGACGTCGAGAGGACGCCGACTTGGCCGGCCGTAGTTGAGCTCGAGGCCGTACTGAAAACGGCCGTCGCCGAGCACGAAGATGATAATGATGATGATGATGATGATGATGCTGATGCTGATGCTGAGGAGGAGGAGGAGGAAGAGGAGGAGTGAAAAGAGGAGGAAGAGTGTGCGGAGGAGAAGGAGGAGGAAGAAGATGAGGAAGAGGAGGCGCCGGCGCCGGGCGATGTCGGCATCGAGTGGCCGCCGAGAGGAGAGACGACAGCATCGAGTCCGTCCAAAGTGGGCTTCGTCGCCATGGACACTGGTCTACGCACAGACTCGGGGAGGAGATCGAGGCAAACGGGCGCCCGCTCCGACAGGAGCGACGTTTTGGCGCCGAGCAACGTCGCCGTTGGCATTGCAGTTGTCTCTGCGGCGACAGTTGACGTTGGCGCCTCGAGAGCCGTCTCCAAGTCGGTGATGAGTTGGCCGGTCCAGCCGGACCTGCAGAAGTGGGCCAGCGAATGGGAGTCGCCGGTGAAGAGGGCGCTGGAGACGAACGGCGATTTGACGGTGAAGCCTGCGAGGCGGCAAAAAAGTACTGGTTGTTATTTGCTTGGCCATCCACGTCTCGAAAGAAAAGGAGGAGGAGGAGGGAGGAGAAGACGATTTCCTGTTGTCTCGACAGGACGACTCGAAGCGGTCGCATGTGGTCGGACCGATCCGGCGTCAATGGGGCCGCATGTTTTCCGATCGCCGGGTCAATCGAGACGAAGGTCAACGCAAGCCGAGTCGGCCAAAGCTGGTTAAGGAATAGCGAAAGCGCCGGCAACTGCATGAGTAAGCTTTTAGTCGGTCTTGCCGCCAGAGCATGTGATCCAGCGGATTGGTCTTCATGTCGAAAAACAATCCCTCATGTAAATGCAGATAAACTGCATTGCTGAGCATATCTTTCATCTCCTTCACTTGATTTGCCATAATTATTGCCGACACTTTAAAGTTGACAATAATGCCTGAAGACTAGCCGGTCCTTCCAAAAACTCAAACCATATAGCTATACACAGACCAGATAATTAAAATTTCATACATGAATGCATATATATATATGCATATAACTTGTTTGAAATAGACATTTACATC